GTCTTTTGAAAAGTCAAAAATAATGAATAATATGCCGAGCTGTCAAAGCTCTACCGGCCGGCAAAGTATTACAGGACATCGCCACGTTATGACGAGGGTTTCTCCATTGACAGATTTTACGCGTGAGCACGTTCCTATTGCACATGTTTGGCTGCTACTGTAGAGCCTCAACGAACAGTATGACCAACCTTTTCCGCGGTTGCAATATTATGTGCCTCGAGCAGAATTCTACGATACGAGATACGAAGACAACGTGCAACAGTAAGATGAATCGGCAAAAGAGAAGTAGCACCCTGCTATAGATGTGTTAGCGACGTTGCTATGCGTCGACCTTCAACTAAGATAAGAGCACCGAAAAATATGCGGCGGACTATGTTTTTAGCACATAAAAGTATTAGCGTTTGCGCCAGAGCAGGGGCTGCATTAAGCCAACAAAACGCATGCCTAATTTACCACTTGGCATTAGCCTTTTGACCCGCAACCCAGATGATTTGTCAATGATGTCTCACAAATCCGTGGTAGAGATTCATGAATCATGATGGAGGTTTTGGTTAGAGAACCAGATTGATTGCCATGATCCAAGTCCAATCCGGAGATATTCCACGTGACGGTCTCTTGTTTTCACGTCGTGATGTTCTTAAACGATAAAAGGGATCCTTAGGAATCGAAAAGACAGCTGCCCCGCATGTCCCATTCAGTGCTTTACAAGTCGCCTCAATGAAAGACTCATTCATGACGGATGAGAAGCTAGCTCCTTTGATTCAACACAGCGGGAATGTCGACACAGCAATTATATTTTTGCAAGAAGGACCGCCCTCAGGCTAGGATCTTTTACTTGCAAATAACAGTTACCCCTATCTATTTTATGCACAGGAGACCTCAACGCACAGTCGCTTTTACTCGGCTTCACCTGCTCGGGCGTCACAAACATCCATTTTGGCGATAACCGGACATTCCATGAATGGAAAGCTCTAAAAACCAAGAAAAATCCTCAATCAATACGTTTCAGCAGAGACGCAGTTACTCATAACATTTAATATGTACAATTCCAGCAGTAGACATATCGATAGCATGAAATCGAAATGGAGAAAGCAATTACACGTTATAGCGGTTGAAGTTCATGCTATAGTAAAAAAAAATATTGTTTCCAGTGACGTACACCCACTCACATACAGTCATTTATTATTACTTTTCCATCAATGTCAGCAGACAAAGTTGACGCAGGATTCGCCTCAAAAATAGAATTAATTCTAAATTGTCATAGCTAGCGCTTGATTGTCTGGTAAAATGTGTTTGGCAAGAAAAGCCAAACATAGTGCTTTCCATTTCCTCCAAAAGTTATAGCTTTGACACAGTGAGGTGACCACAGCGTTGAGGAGATCTTGCACTCCTCTGCGTGCGGATTTCCATTCAACCAGAGAGCGAAACAAGCGCTAGATAGCCGCTCCGCGAGCGACGGGTGTTGTCCGTACAGGTCACCGCTTTCTAGAAGTACTGACTGCACTGAAAGCCGCAGCGATCAGGAGCCTATGTATTCTCAATGAAGCCGTACCGTGGCGCTGATCCCCTGCGAAAGCGCCGAAGATTGCTACCTTCAATTCTCGCTCTTAACGTGACAGCCACGTTGCCACACCGGATGCTCATCACGTCAATTTTTTGATGTATTTTGAGCCCCGACTTGTCTCATTATGTGACCGCGGCTCCACGCTACCTCTCTGCCTTCCAAAGTTTGCTAAAACACTCAGCAGCATCGTTACTTATCAATCCGGCAGCCTTGTTTTGAGCTCAGCATTCAACTTCACGCTGGTGCCATGTGGGTATAATTCGCAGAAGAGATGTGTGTGACACCCAAATTGTAGAATCGACATCTAGTTTGAAAGATTACCACGACCTCGCAAAGCTGGGACGTTAGCAACTATCACCCTAGGCTGTGAGTTTTGCCTCTACTTCAGATTGTCCTTTCGTTTAAGGCTAATTTCCACTGTTACTGATCTACATGACTTGTAGTAGAAACCATTTCTATTTAAAAGGACTGTCCTGCGCCTATTAAGGACTGAACATTTGACGAGACGGGTTTGTGAGACGAAGCTTGACCTTTCATACCTCTCAATCGAGTGAGTAGAGGTCAATTAGAGAGCGCAGGTTCTTGATACTATCACGGATGTAATATTTGCTAGCACCCGGATAGATTCGGATGTCGCTCTGTAACGGAGTTACACGTACCCTGGTAACAGGGTGTGTGTGTCACACGAGATAGGTATGATGTGACTGCACCCTAACAAGAATACGGTGTGTGGCTAGGTAGCCAGTAGTTATGCATGCATTTAAATTTTACTATATATATATATATGGAAAAGCTAAACATTTAAAATAAGGCGGTTTTGCCGCAGATAAAAATAAATAAAAATCAGTGTTGAAGTTGAACCGAAGAGTTTATTAGCCTTGGCTAAGGTACTGACTACTCTTGGAGGTAGCAGATTGCGATCCGCTGCACTCGTATTGGTTCTTGTAAAGAACGAAAGGAAGGTGACCTAAATTACGCTTCCTCAAGCGCTTAGCTACGGCAGCCCCGCTGCAGCTCTCTTTCTCCTCAGCATAGCTAAGATCCATAGTTTTTAAGCGTTGTAGATTTTCCACCCCATCCTCTCCAATTTTTAACCCTCAGAGCGAATAATTGTGTTTGCGAATGCGCCACCCACCTCATTAGAGGATTGATGATCTTGGAACGTCTTGGCAAGCGCAGCACGACTTGATGATCTTAGATAATAATAATGGCAAGTTTGACTGCAATTGAGAGAGGAATTGCAGCCATCGCGACAGTGAGAGCTATTAGCTCGTGGGTATATCCGCTGATACGCGCCTTTTTTACGGGTGAATCAATTTATTGAGGGCACGCGGTACATCTGCGTTAGTCAGTACGAATACTCGCGATATTTGTCGCTCCAGCATTTCAGTATCGCCAGCGTTCGGAACCCATACATGCTTACCATAATACGGTGCTTTACGACACTTTTATTATCGACAAAACAGAAAGAGCACCATGAGTCTTGAGTAAGAAGCCAGCAGAGCCTATGGAAGGCAAAGCACATAATTCATCCTAAAATAGACCGATCTGCTTTGAGCCTCTTCGAAATGAACTTTGAAAGCGGAAAGTTACAAAGGACTGCGAATATATCCACGAAAGACCAAAATGCACTAAGTTATGAAATATCAAATTTTGTCGGCGATGAATAACGATCTTTGATCGATACAAACAAGGTTTACCAATGCATAATTTGCCTCGTCACAAATCACGTGCTTGATCCTTCTAATTCTTTGAATAGTTTTCTGTTTGAATAGTATACAAAATCAGATAAATTTTCTGGTGCGGTAAAAGTACGGTACATTAGGTCTGTTGCACTGGTCAAAAGAAATCAGTATGCTTTTGTTCAAACATACCCAGCTGGCAATCGTTTCTTGCCAATACGAGCAAGTACCCGCTCTCGCTTCATTCATCCGCCTGCCCACGATATGTGTCACTCTTCTTAATGAAAATCAAGATGATAAATTAAGTCGGCATCCGTTCTTGTGACTACCAAATTCTTCCGCTTTACAATGACTTCGAATCGATAAGTACAAACCTGCCCAACACCGGTTGAGCGTAAAGCATATGAGCCGGTATGTAAAGCTTGCTTGCTCTGTAGACGACAACGAAGTTACATAGTGCTATAATCATTTTGTATTGCTTGTGGTATCTATAGTGTCTTTGAGCGATCGGCAATGAATTATGATCCAGAAAATTTTCATTAAGAATATGTTCAGTGATTATAGCGCGATAGTTCCTGAGATCCAAGTACTGTTACCTCTCTGATATTTTTGTTCAGATGACGATTCGTTAGCTGTGACAAACGGCTTACAGATATGCTTGTTAAAGCTGTACTGGCGCACACTTAAGGACTAGATGCGGTGCTGTTCAAGTACCATGAAGCACTTGATGCACTATGAGGCTGACCAAACGGGGCTGACATTTATGAGAATTAACTTTGTAATTTCCGTATATCTCTTGCTGTAACGACTTGAAGAATTCAGAATCCATGTATCTAAGATGGAACCTCGTTGGATTCTCCTCAAACTTCTATCTCACCGCGCTCGTTCCACAAGCCATTGACTTCCGAGCCAAAATGCACGCTACAGCTTTCGAGCAGGCTTTGTGTGCTATTGTACAAAGCAACTGACACCATGTCAACGCCATAATCAGCCATTCAACTATTACGCACCCCACAAAAACTGAAATCACACCACTTTAATTAAGTGAATGGTACACCATTGCTGAACATTCGCAGTGTTTGCTGCCGGTTTAGTCCATGGTTTTGATGTCATTCGCTTAATTTATTTTGTGACTGATCAGGCCAGATGGGTAACACCGATAAAGATCATGACGGCGCGACACAAAAAACTCCACCGCAATCTTTAGTGTCGTCGAAATGCAGTTTTGCATAGCCGTAAACTTTCAAAGCGTGTCATCTTCTGCAATTTATCCTTTGTAGTGTGCCTGAAACAAAGACTACCTTCATCAACTCACATATGCACTCATCTAAACGGAAGTAATGCTCATCAGTGGAGAAAGGTTCCGTGTGATCAGTAATTGGACACGGGTGAGTCGATCCGAAGAGATAGGAAAATTCCGTTTGAAAGCTTGGAGGTTTGAGACGTGGAGTTCGTCCTTGCGTTTTGTATGCAACCTCGTGTATCGAAAGGGAATCAGGGCAATATTCATATCGGACAGTACGCTATCCGCCATGTCCGGATTCCTGACTTTACTCGATTATAATCGTACCGAACATGCAGTCTTTCTCATTTCTGTAAGAATGATCCCTTAACGTTGAAAAAATCAGCTTAATATCTGGCTAAATCAATGATGCCTAACCCTTTTTAATCATCGATTTATGACGATTGCTTAATTGAAGCGTAGTATCTAAAATTCAATCGCATTCATTGACTTTAGACAATCCAAATCGAGCATGGGGCAAGCAGGCTCTGTGCAGCAGAAGTGCGCACTTCGCGACGTGCTGGTGCTTTGTCGACCTAATGTGAGTAACACCGAGCTTGAAGAAGTGTTGCGTACCTTTTGCGCTTTATTTCCGCTTGAGGTGAGGCCCATATCCCGCTTCAGTCTCCTCTCAATCGTTAATTATCCCATTCCGCACTCCGCAGCTTCAAGTGCCCGTCAACGCGGACTCCAATTCAATCACTAATATATTAGACATCGACATTAAGGAACGTCGCCTATTTGACGTCATTTACAGCCTATTACAAGACCAGGCGGAGCACCCTCGTGGGCGCAACATGATGGAGCTTACTCTCACGACTTTTCAGCGCATTATTCACTGGCGAGAGCTCTATAAATTGTGCGCAAAATGCTCCTTGAAGCCTTTCTTTTTTTGTCTTCTTCAGCCTCCAGCTTCGCTCACTTTGGCAGTATTGGAGACGCTGCAAATCATGTTGTCACCATGTCCAGGCTTTGAAACTGGCGACAAAGCTGCAAATCGAAGCGAAACAGCTAATAGGAAACACTTCGGTGATTCAGGAGGATTTGACATTTTGCGCTCACTCTTGGTGCATCATGGAGCTGCTATAGTGAAGGACAAGCAGGAGGAGTACAGACTACAGGTGCTTGCAGGAGTGTTGAGCCTTTTTTACTTGACGCTTGTAGAAAGACGGCATGTTACTGATGGAGGGACGAGTATGCAAGCTGTAGATGCTTTGATGAACGCTCAAGTGTCGCTTTTAGACTTGTGTCACTGTAGAGGGGGCGAGATCAAAGTCATGTGTCTGGCAATTGCGTTAGTAAAGGAACTCTTCTTTCGTTTGGACCCCGACAAAGTACATGAATTGCAAGACTCAGCGAGAAAACATGGCGCGCTGTTATATGCCCTCGACCACGCTGTGCAAGAGGATTCAAAACAGATCGAAGACATGCGTGACTTGACTGCAGATCTGGTCGAGGCCTTTTGCATCGGCAACGTGCTTTCTCATATGACCATGTACCGCATTTTTCCGGTTGAAATGTTCATCAATCGACAAAAAGCATTAAATCGCGAAAAAAAATATGGGAAAGCATTGCACACGTCTACGGGACATACGCCAGCTGCAGGTTCTGGCTCACTAAACTTGCAGCCCTCGTCTTATAACGTCGAGCGACGTCGACATTCATCGATCGCGACATCAACCGTGTCCGTGAGCTATGAAAATGCCGAGCATAAACGAAACTACGCGGTATTATTGGCTGACACAGCTGCGAATTCAAATGCTGACATGGTAACAGAGGCTCATGGCGATGCACGTGTACAATGGCGAGACATTATCTTAGCTCTTCGAGATACCCATGAAGGTCCAGAGCTTGTTTGGCGTGCTTCTATGCGTGCAGAACTTTGTTACGGTTTGCAAGCGGAAATTAACACACTCGAAGGTCAACGAAAGAAATTGGCAGACGAAGATTATGGAGCGCATGAGGTTAAAATACCGTGTTGGAATTACGAAGTGTTCCATTTGGAGTATGCTTCGATGCTCGACGAGCTAGTTGTAAATGGTTATTTCGTCAAATATCTCATTCCTGAATTAGCCGATTCATCAGCAGCATATGAGATTGTAAAACCCGATGTTTTCGCTTGGCATCTCGTGGATCAGCTAGCAGTTCAAAAAAATAAACAGTGGCTTTGCCTGTGTATTCGGTGTCTTCGACTTGTCATAAAGCGCTATGTCCCACTATTTCATGGTCATATACCGACACAATACGTGCAATTATTGCTCAAAGATCACATACATCATTCGCCTACTTTTGTGCGCGAGTGTTTTCTTTACTTGTATACTGTTATCACCACGGCACAAGATGCACCATCAAAATCATTTTACGAACTGTGTACGAATGTGACACGATCAATCTTGAGTGTTCTTGGGGACCCTGCTTTAGTTGCAAGATTTGGAGAAATTCTTGAGATAAAGAATGAAGCTGACCGCGATAACTCCGTGTATCGTGAGGAATTGGAGGATAAAGCCGTCTTTGTTGTAAACGAGCGCGATGCACTAATACGGGCTGGTGTTTCATTATTACTTGCTATTGCTCGCCGTGGAAAGTTTGTCTTACGTCTAGTTATACCCAAACGCATGTTTTTGTGTCGACTATTTGCAGTGGAGACACTGGATCATGTGACGATAACCCGGCTTCTATGTTTGCTCGAGCAGTTGGCTTTTTTGGATGGCAATAGTGCTTGTAGCTGCTTACTGAAACCTCGTGAAATGCCAAGTCGTCTATCATTCGCTTCGTTACCGACACAATCGAGTTTAAATAGTAATTGGAGATCACTTTCTTCAGTCTTTCTGCTACTGGCTAGCTGTGATCCGAAGGGTATGGGAATGTGTGTAGCTGCCGCTGAATTTCTTCAAAAATGTTGCGCCATCTACTCAAGTTCAAGTGGCGGTAGCGATACGAATAAATCTCTCCAGGCTTTATATTTGAACGACTTGCTGAATGAAGCAAATGGATGTGGTGGTTGTGGCATTGAAAGACTCTTGATTTCTACTAGTGCTGAAGCGTTTGCAGATATATTCAATGCCCATGAAACACGAGCAGCAGACGTGAAGTGGGGACAAAAACAGCGTATGCGCTTGCATCGATTCTTGAAACTCAATTACCTGGAGTTAAGCGAAGTGTCCGAGGCAAACGTGTCAAGTTGTAACGTAGCTGACGAAATAGTTCACCAAAAATATGAAGATAACGACCCGTTGGTCAAACACATCTTTTTACGCTCTTACATTGAAGGCGGTGGGAAATTTTTGAGTAAATGGACACCGGAAATGTACAATGAATCAATTTCTGCGCTTCTAGAAGAATTGATTCAGCTGGGGCGTATAAATTCTGCTTACACTACTGAAGTTGGTAGTACAGGTCTGAGCGCATTGCCGATACAGCAGCAATCGCTGACTTTTTCGTTACAGAACGGCAATTTAGCTGCTGCGGAATCGTGGGAAATACAAGTCCTGATTTTAAAAGCCTTAGTGCGACTAGTTCCGTCGCATGGTGCCGATGTCAAAATATCGACCGAGGTTTATGAGTCTTTATTGGCTCCTTTACGCCGCTCAATGTTAAGCGATTTGGATCAAACGCGTGGAATCTGGTCCTTGGAACTGCTCATGGCTATCCTCTCCATGTCCGAAACGCGCAGTGTAAACACAGCTGCGTGTCGAAGATTTTTGGAGAAAAAAGGCTTGATGGTGTTAGCTGGTGCGCTAAAACGTATGCGCACTCCTGCTTTTCAGCACATGCTACAGAATGATAAGGCAAACAGACCGCGACAGGAGAATAATCCGAGCCAGACAAATATGGCGCGCGTACTATTGTATCGCGCTACAGATGTGCTGTCGATCCTGGCAAGTAAAAAAGCTGCAGGGATACATGCGATTGTGAAGAATCCAGACGTAGTTATCGCTTTAATCGAGCTTACATCACGTCAGTGTATCATGCAAGACGTGGACGTCGATGCTGCGAGTGTTTGCTTGAGCTGTGTTTGTAAACTTTGCCACTACGATGAGCTTCGTACAGTTGTGTTAAATGCTGGCGGCCTATTGTCGCTGGTAGACACGGTTGCATTTTGTCCGGCCGATGAGCATTATGATGCTGCGACTGCAGAATCCCGAAACTTGGACGAAAGCAGTGAAGCAGACTCATCAGACAATATTGATGGTCGTCAAGTGAGTGCAAATAATAAGATGACAACAGAGAGTAACATTGACAACTTCGAATGGGCACCCGATAAGATAGTACGTAGAAGTGTCGAGTATCAACGGATTCCGTCACGATTCTTTAGTACAATACGATGTGCTGCACTAGTTTTGCGTGCGTTTCTGGAACCAGCGAATACACCAACGTCATCACTTTCGTGTCAAGTGCTGAATCAGCTGCTGACTCCGAGCTTCGTTCGGGTAATTAAATGGACGTTGATGCTCATACGATCGTGCAGATAGCCATTGACTGTAGTTTGGGATGACTTCGCTGCTGTGTAGGTGCTGCGGATATCCCCTGATGAGTTCGTCCTTAAACTGCAGACTACAAAGGATATTAGCACTGCCACACTTATTTGGACAGTCAGTATGAGGCAGCGACTCTATCAGTGTATTGCGACTGAGCTTGCAAAAGTGAAAGCGGCAGCAATTGCAAATATTTGGCCCCGCTGGGATCCCCAGCATTTTGTAGCCGCTGATTCTTTTCGATATCAGTATCCGGAGCTAACTGATGTGCTTGTCGTGCACGACGTCTATCTTGCAAACTTTGTAGCTTTGAATGCTGAAGAATTAGAGCTGAGCGATATCGATATGGCCGCTTTTTCACAGGCGTTGCTCATTTCGATTCAAAGTCATGAAAACGTGCTTCAAATTTTAAATAAGCGAGGTTCGAGCGATCCCACCAAAAATGCAGCTGTCCGATTAATGCGCCAGGCACTAGACAAGCTCGTGCAGAAACATCCACAGCATAATCTTGAAGTTAAATCTAGTCGTGACGTTCTGCTTGCAGATGGCACACGAGCCATATCTCCCGTATACTCTTCTCCAAATGCACTGGCAGCGACAGGATACTACTCCTCGCCGACAGATGACCGCGATTGGAATATCACGCAAATTCAGCGCTGCAGCTCGTCAGGAATTGAAGATCTGACCGTTTAAAGATTTTGCAGTACCTCTGCACTGCCTTATTTATAATATTAATGCAAGTGACTTACAATTTCTGGTGTAGTCGTATGTAGCATTTTGAAATTTGTCTTTAACATGGTAGTTAATTCTACGAAGGAAGCAACTCCGTTGCTAAGCAACAGAACAGAGCAAAATATCGAAGAGAAAAAGAAAAATACCTTTTCTCGCTGGCGGGAGGACGACGTCGATGATATAAGTAGCAGTAACGTGTCGCAATTTTTGAAGCGGCGGCGCAATTCGACGCAGCGCCAGATGTTGTGTATGCAGTTCAGTCTATTGCTTTTGCTAGCTCTAGATTTGGCTAGTCTACTTGTGATTTGCAGCTTTGGACTTGGAAAATCTGCTTTCACACATCTCAAGTGGCTCATCGACACTCAAAAGCCTCAATGGCGCTATTGGGGATTACCCGTCTGGGCCACCGTAACGAAGAGTGTGCTCTTTCTACTTGCTACACGCTGGCCTGACGCACGAGCTATCACGTGGCTTGTAAAAATTTTCTGCCTTGCTTTTTTGTGTATCTTAGCAATGGACGCTTTCAAGCTAGATGCAATTTCCCGTTTTGATGAAGAAAGACAAGCTCTCGTGGACGCTAATGTGGCAAACTCGTTGCCATTGATCTTCACAGTCCTTGAATTAGTCAATTTGAACTATTTATTAGACTCGATTCAAACTCCCCCAGCAAATGGTGAAGCGCTCCCTCAAGTGACTGACAAACCAGTGGAGTTTACAAGATCGCGTGGGATTTCTTTAGTGAAGCTCGTTATTATCTTAAAACCGTACTTTTGGCCAAATGGATTTACTAACCGTCTGCGTGCAATGAGTACTTATGGTGTACTTGTTCTAAGTAAGCTGGCAAATTTGGCAGCTCCACTTTTGATGGCTTCTGCGACGAACGCTTTGGTGGCAAAAGATGCTGGTAAAGCGATTACGGATCTCGCCATTTTTAGCTCTTTGACACTGATTTCAAAGCTGTTTAAAGAATTACAATCACTTATTTATCTTAAAGTAAAACAAACAGCGTACATTGAACTGGCAACATTGACGTACGAGCATGTCCAGTCACTCCCGTACGATTGGCATGTGCAAAAGAAACTGGGAGATGTACTCCGATCAATGGATCGTGGTGTGGAGTCGGCAAACAATGTCGTATCGTACGTATTTTTATATTTGATTCCGACATTAGCTGAATCGGGCGTTGTGATTGTGATCTTTGCTATGCATTTTGAATTGGCTGGATTGAGTTTTGTGGCATTCAGTAGTTTAGTTCTATACGCGTATTTTACCATCAAAATTACGTTATGGCGTAAGAAGTATCGGGAAGGATCGATGCGCCATGATAATGAGTATCATGACAAGGCTACAGATGCATTGCTTAATTACGAAACGATCAAATACTTTGGCAATGAACGTCACGAAATCGAGGAATATACAAAAATAATTGAAAAATACCAGCGCTATTCGATGTCTACGCAAGCGTCGCTCAGTGTACTTAATAGTACCCAGTCCATCATCATTCAAGGCACGGTTTTGCTGTCATTAGCTTTGGCAGTTCCACATGTTGTCAGCAAAGATAGTGGACGTAAAATTGATATTGGAGCTTTTGTCGCCATCTCGGTCTACCTGACAAACCTGTTTGCACCACTTTTTTTTCTTGGTGGGATTTACAATATGGTAATCAACTCGGTGGTTGATATGAAGAAACTTAGCGAGTTATTGTCGGTCGAGTCTGATATTGTTGACTCACCAGATGCAGTGCAACTTGAGCTAAGCAAAGAAAACATGGAGAACGGTATTGACGTCAAGTTTCGCCAAGTTTCGTTCCATTACCCGTCCCAACCAGCCTCTACAGGTGTTAAGGACTTGACTTTCACTATTCCACCTGGTACCACTACTGCTCTCGTTGGAGAAACTGGTGCTGGTAAAACCACAATCGCGCGGCTGCTTTTTCGATTTTACGAATGCAACGCTGGTAGCATCTTGGTTAATGGTCACAACATCGCGACAGTCACGCAGCAATCGTTGCGTAAGGCTATTGGAATAGTTCCACAGGACACGGTGCTATTTAATGATACTATTCTTTGCAATATCAAATATGGCAACTTAAATGCTACGTTTGACGAGGTCGTTGAGGCTGCAAAGGCTGCCCGCATTTACGACTTTATCATGAAGCTTCCAGATCAATGGAACACTAAGGTTGGTGAGCGTGGACTGAAGCTTTCAGGAGGTGAAAAGCAGCGAGTTGCCATCGCACGTACGCTGTTGAAAGACCCACCCTTAGTCATATTGGACGAAGCTACTTCAGCACTTGATACACTCATGGAACAAGAGATTCAAGCTGCCCTCAACCGTCTTAAAGCGAACCGAACCATGCTGGTCATTGCTCATCGTCTTTCGACGGTACAATAGTTTTATTTTCCAAATTCCTGTGCATCTAGCATGCATGATCAGTACTGACCCATTTTGCTTTTTGTAGATTCGAAATGCACACCAAATCATTGTTATGCAGAATGGGGTCATCGTTGAACGTGGCACGCATGACAAGCTCGTAAATGAGGCCAGTAGCATTTATGCTAGAATGTGGAATGCCCAGCGTAAGCAAGAAGGGGAAATGTCGCCGGCCAGGAAACTATTGGAGGGTTGAGTCGCCAAATGCAAAGAAACAAGACATTTGCCCAAAATTAAACAGATCTTGTAGGCTTTAAAGGGATACAAATAATCATAGTCATCATTCCACAAATTGTCCAGCTTACAGCTTAAGCGCAGTCGGCAAAGGCAAACTGAGTATTATAGCAAAGACGAGAGTAATTGGAGGCTTAAGATAACTGACCGGCTGTGCTAGATATTATAATTTTGCACGGATGATGTCATCTGCGCAAGATTTGCGAAACTGCGATTTTGATTTAGCGACGGAGGGATGCGAAAAATGGGATAATTCAAACTTGCTTTCGGGAATTGGGGTTGCCACACTGTGTTCAGCTCTCGCGAGTTTGTCCGACCCAGTGAAGATAGAGAGCCGATGTGCTTTTCATTCGAGCAACTATCCATCTTTGTTAGCAAGGAGCGATCTTGCTGTTGCAACATGGCGCGAAGAAACAACACCTTGGATTGTGGCAGCGCTACCTCGTGTTTGTGCACAAACATTCCACGCGGTAAACCAGGAGTCCATCGACGACGAGTGGCCGCAGTTGTCGATCCTTTCGTTACTATTGCATTAGTTCGTGCATTGCTTGCTGTGTAAAACTCATTCTCCATATAGTAGAAAGTTACAATCTGCTCCTCCAGTGTCTTCGAACAGTCCACAACGACAACCTCTTCAGCCAGTAGCTCCCATACAACGTCGTACTTACTAGTATGGACCGAAGCAGTGCCTTTAACATTTAAAAACAGAATGCGCTTACGAGTGACCAAAATGCACTGGTGAGTGTCTTTGAGGTCAATATGGCCCAAATATCCATCTGTACGATAACAACCCCCGCGTATCTTGCTCACAATCTCATCGCCCAAAGAATCTACGTACGAGTAAATTGTTAGTCGCTTTGTCCGCAGATCAATGTGGCGTGGCGGTCGGACCCGTATCAATAAGGCTTTCGTCCTCGGATCAATGGCATCACGTAGAGTAGTTGCAGTCGAGGCTGTAGCCAACGAGAATCCAAGCAGTGGCTTTAGCACAAGTCCAAATGCTCCTGCAATCAGGCCAGGTAATACACCACGAGCTCCGTTAATCTCAAACGAGTGAATTGGGGCCACCACGACACCTGAAAGACCTTGCACGAGACCTTGAAATATATGCCGCGTCGCTGGGTAGCCAGTGTATTCGTCCAATTTAATACAAGCTTCTGAGAGACCGAGCGAAAAGGCTGTCAAAATACGTGTATTGAAGTCTAAGAAGGTGTACACTGATGCACGCACGAGAGAGATCAAACCACGACCCAAGCCGAAAGCGAAAGCTTGGGGACTTCGCTGGTAAAGACCAAGCGCTGGCTTCGAAATGAAGTCCCGGAAACCGTTGCGCACATTCGTCCAGGCGATCATGGGGTTGCCCAGCACATCAACACTTCCAAGTATAACATATGCCTGGCGAAGTGCCTCACTTTGGTAATGAGATGCTAATCGTGTAGCCAAAGCATCCGGTTGGACAAAAGAATTACAAATGTGTAATGCTTTCAAATGAAATGAAGCATTTGCAATCTTAGACAGACTTGTTCCAATTGCATTCAGAATCAATCGAAGGGGGCCAACCGTGATCACTGATGAAACTTGCGACGATGACAGATCTGTCAATGCTACTGTATGCGATATTGACGACAAGCGGCCGTCGAGGATGGCGCCCGCACTATCACCAAACGAAAAGCTGACGGTAGCGCGGATAGGATCGATTTGAAATTCTTCAAAGTAAAGCTTTTTCTGTTCGCCGCTTCCAACAATGACACCGTAGTTACCGTATTTGGCTGCCGTAGAGCGCTGAATCTCCGCTGCTAAGGGAGTGCGCTGATTGTGACGTGGTTTGATTGGCTGCTGCTGAGTGCTATTTCTACGAGTGCCGGTATTTATGGATGACGTCGTCAAACTAGAAGCTGGCTTCACTGACATAGTGTTGTCTTTTTGAGCTGCTTCAAGCACCTTCACGGGTATTTCAAGACTGGAATTGAATTCCTTAAGCAACAAATGGCTGTACGCAGCTCGAGTGCCGTCACTGTCACTATTTCGTAGCAAATTTGCCTTCGTTTTCGCAGTTGTATCAGTTTTGCCGCTGCTACCATTTACTTTAAAATGTACCAGAAGCGGAAGCATTTGATATAACAGTGCGCCGTCGACGCGAATGTGCACCGGCAAAATGCTCACGCTGAAATGTCTGATAAAATCGATACCGGCGTACTCATCGTGCTTCACAAGGCCCACTTGCATAACGGGACCACTCATGCCTCCATTACTGACGATTCGAGATTGACCATTTGGATTTGAGAAGCGAAGAAACACTGGGTATGAGGTCCCCTGCAACTGGTTGTCAATTTGAATGTCACTCACCTTAAGACAGCATGCAAGAATCCGTGATTGGGTTTGGCGTTCGAGTCGTGACATTTCCTCAGCGCTGTCAGTAACCGAAGATTTGCTGTTGGATTGATCACCTTTCGAAAGTAAGACATCCAATGCGATACCAGACGCCGAAATGTACATTAGTTCCTTTGGGGCGTTGTCAACGATTGATATGCCCACACCTTGCAGATGCAATACTGCTTGCACTGTAGGAACTGCCACATAGCGCTTGAACAAGTGTAGAGCATTAATTTCACCCTTCTCCGTCATTATTGATTGATTATTGGTACTACTTTGCACTGCCCTCTCTTCACGTAATCGCGTATCTGTAAAACGCAGGACACGAGTTGGTCCATCAGTGGATAGTTCAATACCCAATGTGCCGCCGAGTGCATCGGGATATCGCTGAATGCGGTCCAAATCAAAACTCCCGATGCGCAATGGTCGACTATTATCACCAGCAGCGGACGGCAGCATGTCAACAACAAGCAAACGTTCTTCCGTTGGTTCATCCCAAGCATAATCTAGGCTGTGGTGTGGCAGTAAAATTTCGCTACGTCGAACACGGTGTTGGTGCATTCGAAGCGTTTCCAGCGAATAGTTTTCTACTCGATACGGCGGTGTTGTCGTACTTTCTTCTCGGAAATACACGCAAATGCTTGGAGTATCCAGCTTTAACGTAATCCGAACGAATTTGCTTTCCCGCGTGGACCCATGGCGCATCCGAATAGCATACTCACCAGACTCCACTAATGGGACCGCACCACTCCAAGACCAGCCATACTTTGCAAAACGACAACGGATTGTGCGTGTCTTAGCGTATCGAAGACTCCAATGGAAATCCGCAAATGCTCCAGATTCCAAGTGAACTATATGATAGAGCGGAGACAATTCTCCAGATCCCGGTATTGAGCCATTGGCGGTAGTTGCATTGATCTCCGGCAAATTTACTTTCGGCGACGAGTGACACACCTCGACTGCACTACTCATCGTGTTGACAAGTACGAAACGTGGCGTCAGCATGATCACCTTTGTTCGTGAGAATTGGCCTTTTGCTGGTAAAATTGAGTAGCCTATGCAAAATTTTCTACTCGCCTCGAAGTCAATTGCTTCTATTTCGCCGCTCGTGCCCACCTGGTCCAACATGAAAGAATTGGACCAACTTCGTTGCCCGTTCTCCTTCTTCACATTTGTGGCTGTAGTTTCGCTTTCACTACTGACTCGCAAACGAACGTGACTACGTTTCATTTTGTAACTCGAATGACATACTTGTAAAATCTGCAGTTGCCCAAGGTTTCGCAGGTCATGCTCGATCGACTTCGGCAGAAGGTCAAGCAAACCCTTGATAGGAGGTAAGCTTGGAAGAAGTCGCGGATGGCGTCTCTTGCGCTCGCCATCTGGAAGATTACGAGAAGCATGGCGATCACATGCAATGCGCTTTTGCGCAGTTTTATCATTTTCAAGAATAGGATGGATTATATGGGGATTCGATTCTCGACTAGATGCTTTCGCGCTTTGAATTTCTTTGAGTAAGATCTCGTCACGATCTAACCGTTTCTGTCCTGCTAACATTCTAACCATATCACAAGAAATAAGCTCAACTTTCAATATTGAATTTAAGGATACGTACGAGGTAGAGTGTTCCCATCCCATTCGATCTTTCTCGTATTCGTACTCTAATTTCAGACCCGTCAAATTAACGATCCAGTAAGGAACGTAAAGAATCAATTCCCGGCTGTAACCTTTCCTCACCCGAATATCTACATTGACATAAAGTCGCGCATTACTCACAAGGTCCTTCATGCCGATCCGAACAGAATTTGGTAAATCTTTTTTCAGCTCAAGCGTCTCACTCCAGTCGAATCTCTTCATTCGCACGCTTAACACAAGTGGCGTATCTTCACTCGACAAATGCCAAAAAAGGGAATCAGCGACATTGATGGTCCCGCGTTCCCGCAAACGCTGCTCGCGAGTCTCCCATCCAGCATGATCTCCTGCATTCGCCAGCGGCACGGCCTTAGCTGCAGGAGACCAATCACTTGGTGTTGCTAAGCAGAAGTCTAAGGGCCCAGCAGTTAGATTATGTACAATCAATGGCGGGTAAAATGAAAGGGTGCGATGATACAATGCATCGCTTGCGCTAGAAAGGCAAGCATTCATCATGAATGGACGGACAGGTCGATCACTATGCAGTCGTCGAAACTTGATCGTGCACTCAGTTTTAACGGATTCGTTAGTTCCCATCTGCGGCATATTCTCGAACGCAGAAACACTACTTCGATCGAAAAGCGGAAGTTTTACACGTTCTTTGGCGTAAGCCCTCGGTAGCATGCCAGTATCAGAACCGTCTACAGCAACCGTCTCATCGTTTATTGGAGGCCGCACCAATACATGCCATTCACTGTAGGATACTAAATGCACCGGAACAGGAACAACGGAGAAAGCCTTCACAATCTTCTTCCACACCGGAACCGTATGCTCTGGCATAATCCTTTCTGTTTCCGGCGACCTTGACATCGAAACTTGGGGAGAAACAAACTCGACTTCCAAGTCCGATGAAGTTTGATTTTCGAGAAGCAGAGTTGAACGCACCACAAAATATTTACACCCACGCTCCACGAACACATCAATGACGCACTCACACTTTCTTACTTGCGAAGCAACACTTTCAGCTTCAGTATCTACCAAAGCAAACATTCGCGAGTCAACTTGGTCAACAGGAATGTGCACTTCACTTTGCCATTTTCGTTTGAAATTCAACACATTGTCACTCGGATACTCCTCTTCAACAGCTATAAAAAGCTGCCGCTTGTTCGCGTTCGCATTAAGTCGACCAGGCTTTCGCTGTTTCTCGTCATAATGTATATGACTGCTGAATGGCACGTCGTGAAAGCGAAGTGGCTTCTCTTGACCAGGTGCGAGAAATTGCTCATCGCCTGATGTAAGCCAATACCTTAAAGGCATTCCAGTATTGTTTCGGATCCAGTATGTGGAATATTCAGTCATTTCACGCGAATCGCTCCCAGCATTGTGAACCCATCGCCAGGCCCGATCCGCAGCCACCAGATTTGCAATCAACGCATCGGTTAAATTTAACTGAAGAAGTGTATCTGATGACACTTTCAGTCTCCAAGGGAATGTCTCTGCGCGTTTTTTGTCATCAATATCACTTACTTCGTGATGATAGAGCATCATCTTAACGCTCCAAGGTTCGATAAGGGGCTCCATAGTTACAAGTCGTAAGTTCCGGTACTTTGCTTCAATCGTACAGCATGCAGCAACTTCCAGTATCGAGCTCGAATCAGCCCTCAAAACGAGCTCAATGTTTTTCGTCTCAAACTCGACAACTGGTGATGCTTGGTCAACGATATTGTTAATCAGGCAAAAGTGAACACGATTTAATAACACAGACATGCGCGTCAGTATATCATGCTGGACGCCTGATAAACTATCACGTTCAGCTACATCGACATCATCTGCACCAAAGTGGTGCGCGTACTCGGAATATTCTCCGACATCAGCACTGTCAAAATTATCTGCTGCTCCAAGCTGAGCAAGAAATATACCGCGAACTTCATTTTCCGCACGAAGCATATTTGTCAGGGTCGCAAAAACCTTTAGCAAAAGCGGTAAGTCTTGGTAGGAAATATGCGAAATAATCTGATCGATCTGCAAGGTCGGTTCTTGCCTTGCTAAAAGTATGCTTTGAAAAATTGATTCTGAGATACTCTTGTCGATAGGCACAGTGTCAATATAAACGCCATCTTTTGAGTCTTGAGCAATTTTTTTTGATGCAGTTACCTCAACTTCGATCCCTTGATTAATTGAATCTATGTTCTCACCACTTTCCGGATCGATATTTTCGGGGTCAGGTCGTGAGCATTGCCGCAGTGCAAGCCGAAAATCAGCTTCAAATTTCTCTACAAGCGTTCCTGTCTGGTAGATTGGTTTTTGTTGCTCGACATCGCTGACTGCTGGCACAAGAATCAACACCTCCACATCACTAAGCATAACCGATGCATTCACCAGCTCACAATGGTTTGGATCGGTAGCCAAATGAGTGCGAGCAAGTGTGCTGTCAAATTTAGCGTTCACATTACATGAAAACACGCATGCAGCCATGTCAGCTTTGCGATCGGTCGATACCATCCATATTTGCGAATTTGAGAGACATGCATTAACTTTCCATCGGGGAACACTAAACTGCTTGTTGTCAACAGCTTTGGCTGCTACCAATGCATCCACATTCAAGGCAGCAGAATTTTCAGAATCTTTTACAATTACACACGACGTGATACCTTCGGTTGGTTGGATTTCTACTGCACTTGTCGAAGTTAATATGCGTTGCAGCGGAGACATCGATGTAGATCGAACTGCAACAATATCCTCATTTGATACTTCGGATAGGCTATCAGTTCGTGGTCGAAGAAGAGAAAGAGGAATTTGCGCTTCTATCTTTTCTCCCCTCGCGCTAGCAACATCATCGTCAAAATATTCGGTGTTCTCAACTCCATCACATTTATTTGCCATTGCCTCATATAGCTGAAGCTCAAACTCATCTCTCTTCTTGCTTGCAGCTAAGAATATGTCAAAAACAAAGTGTTCTAATCGGAGGAGTGTCCGAGGAAGAAAGATGAAGCGTGCTGAAGATACAGATATTTCAAGCGAATTTGTCGTTACAGCAGATTTATCGCCGTCCACGAAGCTGTAGTCGCTCACCAATCGCCCTATTAATTGTGGTGAAGATTCGTTCTGTGTTGACGCTGGAGGCAGAAGTAACGCATGACCTATGGTATTTGTCGGTATCTGCGAGCTAATAGACGCAGCAGAAGTGAGGTCGTATAAATGCTTGGCAGGCGATCCAGGAACAGGGCCATACAAATGAGTCAGGAAGGTCTGCAATGGGCAATGCAAGCATATCAAAACACTGGACATTTTTGACGAAAAAATGATTGATAAAGTACTTACTGTAGAATCAGCGATTTTGTCACAGAAGATGGCCTTATCCAAGGAGAAGTCGCATTGGAAATGGGACTGGCTGTCCCTCAACAACGTGCAATTCAAATTTAGCACTACGTCTGCCTTACATGATACAAAGTCAAATTCACCAATAACACAGCACGGAATTTCATTTGAAGTGCTTTCTCCTTGCCCCGTATGAAATGATTTTTCTTGAGTCATAAATGACGCCCCTCCAATGCTTGCACGAGACGACACTTCATCTGGTAAATCGATAATATTTTTCATCCACACCTCAAATTCTTGAGGTGCCTCGGAAAACGAAATAAGTGCAACTTTCAACTCAACAAGAAAGAAATGAATCGTCACTTGTCCCCAGGTCACAGTTACGTCCATTTGAGCCGGCAAAGTATCTTTTAAATGTCCATCCTTTTCGCGTAGGCTACCGAATAAACTTATCGACTCTGCTCTATCCACATTTTGATGCACTCTCTTAGCTGTGTCAGCCAAGGAAATAATCGTTTCATGATATATTTCCTGCACCAAGCACACGATTGCCTCGCTAACATTTAAACAAACAGGATTAATCTTCAAGTCCAGCACGATCTCTGGAATGGTGCACATGTTTCGACCAATACTAGAATTGCTTTTCTCCGCCTGTATAGATGTCATGCATCGCATCTGAAAGCCTGACCGCTCAAGAATTGAAATTTGATTTGCAATGGACCTGATTTGAAATTCGTCAACTGCGACGTTTACTTGACATAAAATTCCTGCACACTCTTCATCTGAAGCTGAGACATTTGAATTTTCTTGCCTCAATGTGACAGCAATTATTCCTAAGTCTAAAATGATGCCTTGAGATGGCATAGGCTGCAGTGATTTTCGCAATGAGATTGAGGGGAAGACAACAGATGGATGACAGAGCGTGATGTCCAAATCGAAGCCGTCAAGGAGTCGGGCAATTACTGATAGCATGTCATCGCCATTTGTAGAATCATTGCTGTGATTACATTGCTTATTGAAGTCAGCATCATCGACAGTACCCTCTTGTGAAAGTCTCTGAGTATTTTTCGTCTTTAAGTTGAGCTGTACAGGTTCTCTGTTTGAGGCATCGACTGCGTCAAAGAATGGAGTTGAATTTTCAAAGGGACGATCAGAAAACGGAGTTAATCGCGCAGTCAGCTTTTTTTCGACATTTAGCGAGTCCACCCGCTTATGATGCTGTACCATGACGCCAGCATCAAGACATGATTGCTTCTCTGGATAAAAGCGAGCATATAGCGGACCATCAAGTAGACACTTTGCCAGATTCTCCATAAATTCGGGTTGTGCAAGCAGACGAATGGGTCGCACTGAAATACATAATTTTGATTTCGCTAGTTTTTCGAGTTCTGAGGGGGCAAGTGACTTTGAGTCCAAATGAAAGCACATTAAGCACTCAACACTCAAAATATGCCTTTCACCCATCGAGGACGCACCTGATCCAATAATTTCGATATAGTCAAAAGATGAGGCCACGAACCTGCGATATGCAGAATCATTGATTTCAGAGTCCTCTTTCTGACGTAGACGCCGAATCGAAGTAAGATCAAACACCCTCACGTCACCCAATAAGCCTGAAAATTTGATCTGCCTCCCTTTATCTGTGCTTACATGCAATTGGGAGCTAAGAAATGCCACAGAAACGATGGACTCTCCACCATCAAGAAGGCAAAGAGAAACAGAGTGTAGTCGGAGGCAAAACTTCAGCGCGCAAGAAACAGGTCTACTGTCTTCAGGTAATAATGAAGCGGATTCTCGTTGATCAAATGACTGACCAAAGATGTTTCTCCTGGCTCGTTCCAGATCTGCGCGAACAGACTCGGTGAGATTTACTGGTATCGAGTATTCTTGTTCAATAGTGGGTGCAAGCTCGACAGGAGGCGGAAAGCCGCCATCAGTACGACTTTGCGACAAATCGGGAACCGTTCTCAGCTGCGAAGATGACTGTTCAAATAGCTCCAATAGTGAGCACACGTATGATTGATCAAAGATAAATTGCACCGAGCCAAGATGTATATCTACTTCCCGTAGCACCTCTTTGCCGCTGCACTGTTCGTTAAAAGAGCTAAAAGCAAGCTTCAACACCGTTTCGGGTGCTGAAGAGGCTTCCGATCGTGATCTGTCACCAAGTCTCGCACTGCCACCGTGAGTGATCACTGGTCTTTGTTTTGTTGGTTGTCTGCGCTTGGGAAAGTAGCCAGGAAAGATCCTATCAAGGCCCGATGGTGATGTTATCGAAAACGGTGCAGCAATTGATGGGCACGAAAAAAGCAAGAACTGTGAAGACCGGCCGCTAGAGTAAGAAATGTCTTCGACTTCAAACGACGTCAAGCTTACATTTACTTGAGTAGATAAAGTCTTCTGACTAGCGCGAATTCGAAAACCTTGGAGCTTCAAATTTATGCTGCCATTGTCAGCAGGGTCAACATCAAAATCACCGGAGTCGATAAGATAGGGAGATAGTTCAGGCAACCGAGGTTTTTCTAGCTGCATCACTATCAAAGGAACAGTGAAGGAGCATACGAAAAATCGACGATCAAGCAGCTTTGAGCTTCGGTTAGGGGAACTAGGTCGGAGCCGATTTCGTGCTGTAATCTTTGGCTGTGAAGAAGTGCTACTTATGTTCAGCTCGGCTGTCGTTGTATCAATAGAAAAAAGTGGCTCCGGTCCACCTGCACCATTACTTGGCGTGGCTAGATCCACGTTACCACTGGTGATGCTAAACCATGTGTCATCACTTTCAATGCTTGAGTCTTTGTCGGAATCATCTCCATTATCTGGCAATACACCGGCAAGTGACGGTGGATTAAAGTCTGTATTTCTCAACATAAATTTATTTATTGTTGACGCGCTGACACAATCATCCTTCCTTACTGCGTCAGTCATCTCGTCTGAATTTGACAATTCCCAATCAAAACTTTTATATGCTGGAGCGTCAAATTCACCTTTTCGATATTCTTGCGACTTATAAAGTTTCTCAGTGTTTGTAACGCTAAAACGACCGGCCAGTGCCACAAGCTGGAAGTACTTCTCGAGTGAAACGTTAAAAGTTAAGGCTGGAAGGTCCGCATGGACGTAAAAACGTGTCAGCGTGGCATCAAGCGGCAGACTTGACATACGAATGGTGAAGTTGATGTTAAAGCGTTCAATCAGCTCGTACCCTTTTTCCTCGTCGTAATTGTTTGGCATGAACTTCAAAAAGGAAGTAGGCTGTGAAGTCATCCCGTTGCCTCCGGCACCAGAATCGTGTGCCATGATCGTATTTCCGTATGGAATTATTAACACATGAATATCTGTCACAGACAGGCTAAACTTGTCATAGAACTCCTCTTTCCATCGACCCGCACCCTCTCCTTTCTCTACTTCGTCGGATAAGTGCTGAACAAACGACGTGTTTGGATCTACCCCATGAAAATAAGATGGACTTCGTAGATAATCTGGTTCTGATTTACTCAAAAGCGGATTATCATCCAGATTGATACCCCTTCGCTTTTTGTCCTTTTGACAGAGATGATCAGTACGTAGATTGATCCGTCCTAAATCCACTACAAGTCGGGCACAGCTGTAGTCGGTGTCACTCTCAGGAACAATGATAACCGGTGCTTGTATCCGAAGATCCATGGCCAATGCGACTCGATTGTCCATCACGTGATTTAATTTAGCTTCTGTTCGAGTTTTCAAATTGACAATATTATTGAATGAAGCAACCTCAAGTTCTTCCCACAATCCTAATCTGCCAGGAGTTTCCAAAAATTTTGCTAAGCGACCCCAACATCGCGCTGTTGGTGACATCACAATTTCCAAGGGCTCCATATGAATAAACAGTGACGCATCTGCATTAGAATTGACTGGATGCATCTCAAAGCTCATCAAAAAAACAACACCAGATAGTTTGCTGACGTTAATGTCATCTCCGTCGCCAGTCGGATGAATACTCTGTTTTCTTGTCACTAAGCGGGAAAATGCAGAACTTTCTGCACTCTCATCGAACGCCTCAATACTTTGCAACGACATATCCACTACCACCGTTTCATCCTTTGCTACAGCAGCTAGTTGCAAATGAGAAAAAGTTCCCAGCAGGAATTCAGTGGGAGTATACTTTAGCCCGTAATGTGGGTCATCACGAAGCAGCAGTACATTGGTCTCTGGGTCACTGGCCAATGTGAGTGAACCACGCTGCAGTGATATTGTGATCCGAAAAAGCTCGCTGAGTTCTATCTGGGACTCACCATCCGACAGACTGTCCTGTCCACCCGGCTCATGAAGGTTATGCGCGCGTTTTTTCAGGCGCCGAGAAGGTTCTTCTAGTATGTTAAATAATTCTCGGAGCTCCACTTCAGGGATGATTCGACGGGGCATCTGCCCTTCTTCTGTAGAAGATACAGCCAACCTAGACGTCCAGCCGAACATCCACGCACCCCAGGATCGGTAGCGAATTTCAGCTGGTACACTAGTTTCAGTAATGTCCGTGTCTAGAGACGCGGTATCTGAGAAGTCTCGGGAAGTATGTGACGGGGGCGTCGGCAGTCGATGTCGATCACGAGTTGCGCGCAAGGCTTGATATTTTTGAATCTCAAGATCGCCTAAGTAACGAAAAAATAGTATATCTTCAATACTTCGACGACGTTCAATTTCTTCAAGCCCTCCGTCGACCTCGAGAAATGAAAGTTTGGGCATGTCACTGACATGAATATCGTCATCATTATCATCGCTGTCAAAATTGACGTAATCCATATCTGAAAGCTCCAAGAGCTGACGTGATTTGTGCTGCCACAATGTCACATAATGCTTTCGGTCTTCTCGCCGTTTCTGCATGAATTCCCAAGTCCATTGTCGCTTTTTTATTCTTAAATCTTCCGTTACTGAGGTGATAGCATATTTCCACCATTGTGCAGGTTCATCAAGCACATTTGCTTGCGGTCTAAACTTGCGAAACCGATAATATTTTCTGTGATAAGTCTGAGCTTGAAGCACTGACGCTAGGTATAGTAGATCACAGTACTGCGATTCTTCTAGTCGAAAAGCTATGTCATAAATCTTGACATCTACCTCAAATTTTGGCACGTTTGTGTCAAAAACATCGCGATTTACAATAAGCCTCGCATTGGCATCAACAGGTTTCAGAATGAAATGGTGCTGTTGTTGAGACGGATACAGTTGCATATGATGATAATGTCGATCATCAAATCGTTTTGGAATTGATCGGCTAAAAGCGTTTAAAAACTCTTCCACAGAGCACGTCTCTAAGTCAAGTTGGTGGTCACGTTGCAACTTACAGTCTGGGTTGCAATACACACTTAAGTGATTAAGATCCACACTCTTGTAGATTCGTGGTTCATTGCTCTTCGACGTATCTACGTATGTTGGTTGCCAGTGAGAATTAGTTGATTGCACGTGCACCGACTCGATCGCGAGACCCACGGCGAATGGATGTTCCCCTGTGCTGTAATCCTCTATGCGAATATGGATTCGACGAATATGTAGCTCTAAATTGTCAATTATCTTATTGATTAATCTGGCTGCAAATCCGTCTTCAGTACTTCCTATTTCAGCTCCTTCGGTCGTTTGCTTATGGCGCTTAGCTTGTGTGTAAAGCTCCTCCAACATCCTTTTTTGAAGCGTAAACTCATCCATGTGGCGCATAACAGAGTCAATATCCTCTTCTGTTCGTAAAAGTAAATATACGTCATCTACGGTGGCTACCACCGAATCAGACTGAAGGCGATTCCATGGGATCTTCAGTTCAATGGAGCCCACGATACCACGCACTAGCTTAACAGCAGGGAAATCTGCCAAGACTTCGGATCTAATCTCCAGTTCTGTGAGAACTACGTACCCTGACCACACTGCCACATTGATTTTGTCACTACTAAAACACTTTGGCTCGATATAGCTGCCCAATGCGCTTGTCAAGAGTCCCGTCACCAGTGTCTCGAACATGGCAATAAGTGGTGTGACGTACATCCGTCAGTGTCATCAAGTCAAAATGTTTTGTGACATTAGCACAAGCACACGAGCAAGGGGGAGAAATATACCGGTTATAATAACGTCCCATAACTTGGGAGCATGGAAAGCGTGGATGCTGCGCTGCGATACTTGCAGCGGCAGTTCGCAAGCGTAGCAAGTGACGAAGTACAATGGAATGAAGAGCGTCAGAAATTGCAGGCACAAGTGCGTGAGCTAGAAGATCAGCGCAGTGAGCAAGAGCAGGCTTATAAGGATGCCATGATGCGTGTAAAGATGTTAGAGTTTGCGCTGCGACAGGAGCGTGGCCGTTATTTAGCATCACCTGCTGAAGTATCGAGTACAGGAGGATCATCTACTAAGCCTTATTGCGAAAGTTCTGAGGCCACGCGGGGTTTGGGGGCTACTCGCTCCAAGTCTGCTCGTATAGCCGAGCACCCATCGCCAGCACCGTCACCTGCGGGTAGTCCTAAGACATACAGCGTTATTAGAGCAGATAGCAGGAATAAAAGTGGGTCCATTACACCTAAAAACTCTCAAGGCAAGGGAATGGAGATTTCGCGACCCCGTATGATGACTAGGACGGCGTCTGGACGAGATGCGGAGCGCGAAGCGAATAAGGGCGCGTCATTGCGTGAGGTTGAACGAGAAATGAATAGATTGGCTTCAGGAACTGGGCGCGAAGTAGAGCGTGAGATGAACAGATCGGCTTCGGCGTCAGGAAGGGAGGTAGATCGCGTTGAACGTACGTCTGAAAATATACATCTTGAGCTGCTCAACCCCTTGACATTCGTTGGTTTTGCTCGATTAATGTCTAGGAAATATTGAACCAACCAAGCTATTAAAACCGGTTGTAATTGCTAATGCTTCCAAGGGGTCGTACCGACCGCACAAGTTGAAGCTCAAGCTGTCTGGACATATGGTACACAACTTGTGCATGCCCAACTTCGGATGATCATAATTTAATTATGCTTGAGTTCTTCTTTATAGGATGGAGTGCGAGCGCTTGCATTTCACCCAACCGAGCCATTGTTAGTGTCAGGCAGCGAAGACTGCACGGTGAAGGTGTGGAATCTTTCAAGCGTAGCCAATGGACCTCCATCGCAGCGTGCGATCGAGGTAGACTCGATTGTAACAATGCGAACCCACACACATAGCGTGCTTGCACTGGCTGTGCTTAGTGCAGATAACTCTGAGTGTCCACCTGGTCGAGTGGGTACATTCGTGTCGGCAGGTCGTGATGGAACACTCCATTTGTTTCAATTGCCATCCACAGAGACGGACAAACCTGAGCCTTATACGTATCAGGAATATGAGGGCATGAAAATGGATATGGTGAAAGATGCTCACAGCGATGCAATATGGGATCTGCATGCGCATCCGCTTTCAAATATTTTGTTTTCAGCTGGAGCTGATGGCATTGTGCGAACTTGGGGAGTTATGTCAGGTATGCAAGCGGGTGAAGTTGAGGCCAGTGAATGCCTAAATTCTGTTTCTCATACCGTTTTCTTTTCTGCTATACGATAGAGCTGACGCCTCAAGGTGAGCTTCGATGCTCAAGTAAAATCAACTCAAATGGAACTGGTTAGTGATTTATCAGAGCGAGTTGTTTTAAGCTACAAGTTCTCTAACTTATTTGGAATCGTTCGGTCAGGTCCGAGCATTGGTAGCTCATTAATGCCAACCTCAGTTCACTCTATGCTTACGGATCCAAAAACGTGCATTGTTGGTTACACAAATGGATCTATTGCCCAATTTGACTTTGCTGCTGAGCGCGTAATTCAGTTGACAAGAGCAATAGATGTTGACACAATTGGTCGCAGAGGCCAAGTAAATAAGGTATGCGTGTTTGATGATTGCGCTTACTGCAAATATTTCAATATCTATGTTTGTTTTGTAGTTGAGTGTGCATCCGACAATGCCGGTCGCTATTGCTGCTCACCAAGACCGAAAAATTCGGATGTACGACATGCGAGCAGGTGGGAACGATTGCTTGTGTAATTATCGACCTTGTAATGAAATTTATACTTTTGTGTTTTGCTTAATGTAGGCGAGTGTGTCGGGTCTTTGACTGCTCACCAGGATTCTGTCACATCCATTTCAGTAGATGCAGCAGGATTATATCTTGCGTCCGGAGGTACAAATAAATGTTGCTTTGTATGCTAGAGAGCTCTTTATTTATCATTTTTAACCAATTTTGTAGGCCATGACGGCTCATTGCGTATCTGGTCAGTCAGTGACCGGCATTGCGTGTTTGAGCAATCGGTGCGTGTGCTAAATTGGGTATCTCTATTGATTGCTGAAACTGATGAATGTGTATAGGCACACCGACCGAAGATGGGCGAGGCTACGCACTCAGTAACGTATCACCCGTCCCGCAACTTCATCGCAACGGGAGGTGCAGACAGTACAATAAAGATCTTTCAATGAGCTGCATAGCAACTTAAGTGAACGATATTACCGCTCGAGTACTCAGTGCCGTCGAGCTTGCCGTGTGATGCGACGATAGCTATGTATTACATGGCTGACATGTGGAATAGACAAATATGACTTGATACTTAACGTGTATGCTGTGATACTCTATAAGACAAAAGAAATTAATCCATACCCGAAAAAAAGTAAGAGAGTGCGTACTGATTCGTTCGTGCAGCATATTTTCTTTCACACATCAGAATTTCATTACTCAAGATAATGAGCGTATTTATATTACATCAGAACCAGAATTAATTTGAGAAGATATACCAAGAGAAGAAGGCTTGTTGACACGATTCCCACATGCACATCAATCATTTGTACATCGCTGACCTTCTGTTTATAATTATCCAGCCATACCGAAATACCTCTTGAGTCAAATGGATTCTAAGGAAGTCTGCTTTACCGAGATGCTCTCCTAGTAGCGTGCAGCGGGGCTGCCGTAGCTCTTTGCTTAGATAAAGGTCACTAAGGTCATTGACCTTACGTTCTATACTATGACCAGTACGAGTGTAGCGAATCGCAATCTGCTACCTCCAAGAGTTCTAAAAACTTAACCCGAGGCAAATGCATTCTTCCATTCAAAATTGAAGCTTTATTTATATGTTTTATTTGCGGCTAACAAAAACCCTAGGATTTCCTGATTAAATAGAAAAACCTTATTATTATTCATAACTACTGGCAGTCCTTCTTGTTACGGTTTAGCCACACCATTGTGTGATTACACCGACTTGTGTAATCGACACCTTTGTACGGTCACACCATTTTGTGTAAACCACCCTTCATACCAAGGGACGTGTAACCCCGTTACACCCACCCATCAAAATGGTAAATACTCAAAATTCACATCGAACTGTCGAGGATCGCGTATTTGAGACACCGATAACGTCCCTAAGACCATTTCTATGCATTCTCTGAACGATAAGGCCACAATGACACGAAAAATCAGCTGATTCCGAGGGCGTTCGCGGGCAGAGCTCTTCTTCGTCTCCTGCACGCGGTGCAACTCCGAACAGTACGTCCGTGGCTTCACGGGAAGCACATCACAGGCCCTCGGCAACCGGGCGCCACACACCGTACCCGCCACGGGCAACAGATTCCTCGGTGAGGATTCGGAGGAAGTCGACTACGAGTCGGATAGTCCTTTCCCAGGATGGGAAGAAGTGAAGGAGTACGCCAACGGCGAGACGTGGGCCCTGCTCGAACCTTGCGGACACCATGCCGGATCTCTCGACCCCCAGGAGAAGTGGTATTATTACCAATTGCCTCGACGAAGCTTATGAGCAGCAGTTGGAGGCTGCTCACAGGGCGGCTCTTATGCGCTTGTATCTACGTCCGGCTCATGTGGAATACAGCTTCTGCTCGGCGAACCCCCGCTACTGAAGCGAAAGACGCGATCACTCGATCGTTAGATATCTACGTATTCGGACCCCGGCCACTACGCAAGCCGAGCTCGACCAACGAACAATTCTCCAAGCTCGCTTCTTGGTACCTCAAGATGTTGCAATGGATAGGTATCGTGCTCGACATCGCGCTCAAAGAAAAGGCGCTCCTATACCAGCAATAATGGCTATTTCTGTAGTACTCGCCCTGGCGAAACCGCTGCGGATGATGAAGGCCTCTTTGAGCGATGGGTGCAAAGACACCGGAAACTTTTCTCGCTGTCTAACTTACATCGAAGCCACACAGTAGTGAATGTGCACGTAGAAAGCAATCTTCAATTTGAGTTCGCCAAATCAAGGCGCAATACCGACTTCCTGCGTATTGTCGCCCTGCGACTTATGAAGTAATCCATCACGGCCCGCGAACTCTGTGGTTTTTCATTTGGGTGACTCTACGACCACAGCAGCTCAGGGCCATAGCTTGGCTCAGCTCATGGCAAATCAGCTTTCCCGGCTATTGTCGAGAAGCGCGGAGCGTCATGATTCTTCTGATCATAAGCGTTCACGACGTCTGGGTATTCTTGCCGAAGTGGGACCTCAAACTCCCACGAGTTATCGGAATTTGGGTATCCCCGTCACTTCACAAGATACTGGGTTTGACCTTGTCGACGACGTCGAGCCACAAGGCGTTCCACGTCATAGTGGACGCCACCGTTCTCATCCAGAAATGTCAAATACAGAAGATGACAACTTGGTCGATCGCCGTCCGGTGACTTGTGATGCTCTTCGAGCTCTGGAGGACAAGGTCCGTCGTCATCGGCACACTGCCGAGCATCGTGCCGAGGTCACATATCGCTGTGCGGAAGACCTCTT